GGGGGGGGGGGGTCGCGTATGCTTTACTGCAAATTTTGGAAGGGAGAACTTATACTTAAAATATTGTCCATGCCTCCATTTTTTGCTATGAAATATATTTTAAGAGACAGAAACTGAGGCACGTGTAAAAAGATTTTAAAGTAAACTCAATTATAAATGGAATTGCAAAAACGGATTTGATCAGTTTTCCCATCTTTAAGAACTTTCTTTTTAAGGCCTCACCTCAAATTTCTTTTTTAACCTAGAAAACAATATTAAGCACTGAGGAAGAAATCTGGCAGATAATACTCTCTGTGTTGGAAGAACACATGAAAAGTTACATGAAAAGGGTGTATTTTTCATTTTACATGGGTATTCTTGAAAATACATAAAAAGCACAAATTAATTTCTAAATATTTTATTAAAAGTAATTTCATGATGACCACTGTGGAAATGATTCTTGTTTATAATTTCTACGTCAACTTTGTTTCTCTGGAATTTTTTTCTTCTCCTAGCCCAGGGCTGCTTGGTGGATATTTGAAGGTTAAAAAAAAAAATCATGTTTCTGTGCTGAAAAGTTATCAAGACCAGCTCTCTGCTGCATTTGCATTGTTATTAGGGACACACGCGCGCGCACACACACTGGGCTTAATGTGAGGCTAGTACAGAAACAGAGAGATTAGACACAAAGCAATGTAAACAGCTCTCACATGCGAGGAAACTAGGTTACGAGAATGAATCCCAGCACCGGGCGCTCGCCAGTCACCATGGAAAACAGGAAGTGAGATGCATAGCAACCACAAGCCAAAAAGCAGGAAAGCGCATACCTTTAGCTTGGAATGAAAATCACGAGATTTCCTTCTGGCAAGAACCTGAATGTGACTAGACACCTGCAGGGTAGGGGAAGGGAGGAAAACAAAGGAAAAGCCTGTAACCATGGAGATGAAAAGCCCCCTACAACTGGGCAAGCCAGACGTACCTTAATGGCGGCTTGAATTTCTCGAACTTTCTTTCTTGCTAAGACCTGTATATGACTAGACACCTACATTGTTCGGGTTTATGAGGGGAAACAAAACAAAACAAAACAAAACAAAAAAGGAAATCAAATATAAAATTGCTACTCCTTAGGAGGGTGTGGGGTGGGGTGGGGTGGGGATGGGGAGGTTATTTGCATCGCAACAAAGCTCTGCAGTTAGGAATACACAGTCCCAGCCAGACACCAAGCCCCCAGCACTGCTCTCAGCTTTTCAGACTGGGTCATCGCTGCAGTGACTTGATTCAGGAGGAAAGTTTAGGCTAATCTAGTTTTTTTCTCACCCGGTAGCAATCACGGGCACGGGATGAGAGGGGGAGAGTGGGATTGTTTTTGTTACAAAATTAAAAAGGTGGGGGTAGAGGTAAATGAAAATATTTATAGCTTCTCAGTATCAGGAGGGAAAATCCCTTTTTCTCAATTTAGAAGAGACGATCCATAAATTAGCACATACTGCAGAATCAAAAAGCTGAAGCTGTCGGTTGTATTCTGATCTCATTAAGAGCTCTGGATTCTGTAGCAAATGTTAAAATAATACTGACATGTAAATTAGATCTCAAAGTGAAATGGAAAGACCCAGTTAGCAGAGCATTTTTTCCCCCTTATAAATATCTTTAATCCTTTCACTCTTTTGGGTATTGACTGGGCGCCAAGTGGATTTGCATATTATTACAAAGCACAAAGTGTGAATACAGCCAGCCAGCCATCCTGTTAAAAATCTGGGTTGAAAACCACACGGATTTGCTGAACAACAAATTCACATTGGAGAGGTATCACCAACTGCTGCCTAAAAACATCCCCAGGATGCCGGGGTGTAGAAACCAAGCCAAGCCTGGCTTCTGAGACACAGTGATTCCACTGAGTAAACAAATTTGCATCTTTTTCCATGGGACTTGGTTAAATTTAGTAGAGTCCCCCAGTGAAGGGGTTGGGCACATGAGCACAGCTCACACAACAGCAGACAGCCCAGGTCCAGCACGTTCCGTATGCTGGGGAATTAGGTCTTGTCTGTTTTTACCTGTTTCAGGAATTTAGGACCTCCCATGTAATAGTTCAGCGACTCAGGCTATGAGACAATTACTTTTTTTAAACACTCTAGCAACTCTAAAAAACGGGATTTGTGACAATAAAAGGTCCTTTTATCTTTAACTTTGTCTTTGAGTTTAAATTATTAATTTTTTTCCAATTTGCACTTTTTTTTTAAGTACGGAGAAGCAGGAACTCCCCCATCCTCTTCACCCCTCCATCCGGTTCCTGCTTTTACTTGTTTCCACCCGAATTTTGTTCTTATGTGCTTCTAGGACTTAATGAGGACCACTGTCCATTGTCGGGGGGAACATCCACCAAACAGACAATGTCCTGCGTCTGAGCACTGGCAGGAGGCCACTTCCCTCTGTGCTGACTCAGCAGCCAGGCTCCCGGCTGGGGCACATGTAGCATTCCTGGGGAAAAGCTCTCCCCCGTCATAAACACTCATGAAAACAACTCATCACTGAGCAGAGGACTGGAATCTGCTGCTCAGGCTTAATGAGACCACAGTTGAGCTTGCCTTTTGGTTTGATTATAGTTTTTAAAATCCACAGATTCATCAGCATAGGTCAACATTAAAAAATATTTTTTTTTCTGTTAACAACTCACCCATGAGATGTTTGATTCCCCCCTCCCCCTTTCTTTTTGTTTTTAGTTAAACACAAATTTCTCATCCATTCCAGTTCTGAACTGGGTCAGAGATTTGGGCTGCTTTACATCAGAAAGGAGGAGAGCCAGAGCCCTGACAAAGGGCAGAGGAAATTCCTGTCACTGCTCTGAACAAAGGTATTTAAGTTGTAACTTCATTTCAGTCACAGCAGCTACTGACAAAAAGCCATAGCTTAAGGAGCAACAGTTCCCTGGACGCACATCATTCAGTATCATATTCAGGCCAATACTCACGGCTGCTAGTGTTACTTTTTCATTGAAATGATGACTAATACGTAATCGTTCCAGGATTTCACAATGCACAAAATCTCAAAATTTCATGACTTGCATGTATATTTGCACCTGCAGCATTTCTAGCGTTTGCAGATGCATAGTTTGGGAAAGAAATATAACTTTAAAAATACAGTACAGGAGCAGTTTATACACTGTCCTTAGTAAAACTTTCCCATATGTATAAAAAGAACTCTGGAGACCACATAGTCAAGGGTCACTGAAATGATGAATAGTGAAAACTGAGCCAATTTAAAACACCAATTTAAACATCACTGACGTCCTTACAGGGAACTCAAATTGGGGGCTCCTAGGAGCCAAAGCACAGACAGCCACTGCAGCCAAAATGCCTCTTTGGGCCATTCGCTGACATGCACAATTTCCAGGTAGGTTACTTTACCTGTTTTCTGGTCCTCGTTTTCCCTGTCCTGAGTTTGATGTATCTGGCTATCAATTCATTTCTACCTGCAAGAAAGAAGAATTTACAATAAGGCGGATTATGGAAAAAAAAAAAAAAAGCCTCTGAAAGCTAATAGAATTCAGAATCAGTTGCAGCTGTAAGTTTATTAATGCTAGAAAAATAAAACAGTACCGTTGTTGTTTGCAAAAATATTTACTATGGGAAAATAAAATGAGGGGCATTAATTATGAACTACAATCAGCAATTGAGGATAGAAATTTGCTTTTTAAAAATGTGACTTTTTGTTTCTTTGCATGCTTGCATCTAAATGGGTGGTCACTTGTATAAGCAACACATACAAGGATTAGTGTGGGCGTCTGCAAACCCAGTTCTGTTCAAGTCTTATTTTCCATATCCATTCCTCCACACCCAGGTTTCTACTTGTAGCTGCCTCCAGTCAGAGTCATTATAGCCACAAGAGAATGAACTGCTGTGGCCACAGAAACCCTTCAATGGTAAGTTAGTGGTATGAAAGCAGACATCCCCTGAAAGCAGTCACTGCACTAGCAACTACACACAAGATTGTGTTGGTGAAAAAGGACTCAGCCTCCTCAGAATTTTATAATCTTTGGGGGAAAGAAAACATCTAAAAGTACAAACAAATCCCTTCCATCCGAACCCCACCAGGAGACTGAGAAGTTTCAAGCAGATAACCTGACTCAGAAGAACTATAATATAATGGGAAAGTATAGCCCCAAAGCTAAGTGGGGAAATGTAATACCACATGAAGTAAAACCCCACTCTTACAAGACACGGGTCCAAACTGTTAACTATAATCATAACTGTATAGCTAATTGTATAATTTGTGCTTGCTGCCTTACTTCCCAGACATACTACCCGAAGACAGCAAGAACTCTGTCTTATTCCCCAAAGCTCCTCCCGTCCCACCAGGCACACAGCACAAAGCTGGGCACACAGCAAGATAAACAAGGGAATAACACAGCCTCTGCTGAAAGAGAGTAACGACATCACCAGACCTCCCCTGGCAGAGTAAAAACTTGGCAGCACTAATGAAGACCAATGGAGGGTGTCTTTAGGGCAATCTTGTCTGAGGATTCTAAATATGGTCCCATCACTGCCTAGAATATTCCTGTACCCATGGCTCTGTCTACCATCTGCCTGTGTTAGGACCGTGCAATACACAGTCACCACTAGAAGACGAAGAAATCGTGAAGCTTGGGGCTGGAAAGTACCTCTGGGTGATCCATTCCCACCCTTAAAAGTGGAAGTCCTTATTAGCCGAAGCCAGCACTTCCAGAATTCAGGAAGTGGTCCGTTTTACCTTAAAACATTTAAGAATAAAAGGGCCCATCTCATCTGTGGCTTCTTGTAACTTTCATCCTCAGATTCTTCTTGCTCCTCTTAACAAGAAACAAGGCTAGTCACTTACGCACATGACGTGACTAGCTTTCAGATATTAATGACGACTCTCAGGTCCTCCTGGAGTTGTGTCCAGGCCAAACGGACCCTGTCCCTTTGTTATCTGTGACA